GCCCTGGTTCAGAAGAGCAGGGGAGACTCTCCAGAGCAACCAGCCCCCACATCCATGTGTCTATGTGTGCATCTGTCCACAGGCAGAAGAGGGGCCAGAGCAGCCCCTGCAGCACTGCAGCCCCAGGGAGCTCGGGAAGAGGAGCAGCTGCCCACAGCCACCCACACAGGGGCCATTATGTGCCCAAAATAGCCACCCTCTTCAACAAGAGCAAGCAGAGGCTCAGAGGACAAATCCCATCTCCATTCCCAGTAGGGTCACGGGCAAGTCAATGATATTTATGAGCATGACTGTGGAAGGCAAAGACAATCCCTGTTCTTTATACATCACCAGGAAGAGACTCCAATGACCTCGAGATGGGATGTATGGGTTTATCCCTCCCTATATAGGCTCAGCCTCACGTCTGTCCTCCTTTTGACTGGCCTGCAACCCCCAGCCCTGGGCTTTGAATCCAACCCAAGCACTTTCTTTTCGCACAAAGCAATATCTGTAATATCTGCAGAACCATCCAAAAATTTTGTTCCAAGTGTACCTTTTTTATTAATTCCATATATTTTTATTAGAGTATAAGAAACAATATGTAACATACCCTACACTTATACTTATGTTAATATATTTAAAGGAATTGATGTTTCTTTATTCTGCTTATTCTGTTACAATAAAGGTAATACACAATTACAAATCTCACATACATGTATTAGTAAAATCAACATTTCAGTGTAACCGCCTCAGTGAAATAAGATCATCCAACAAAGTTGAAATAAAACGTGTCCATATTTTTTCTGCAACACTTTATTGGCCTTATTATATTTTCATGAAGTGTTTTAGTTTTGATGTAATGGTAGGGTTTGGGCTGGAAAAAGTGTTCCTTCAGAAAATGTTTGTCCTGGGAAGCCTGTTAAGCCTTTCGTTTCTCAATTTACACTATCAGAGCAAAGCTGGACAAATTAAAACATTCCATCTGTCTCTGATGCTTCTGATTCTCTGCTTTGCATGCAATTATCTGCTTAAGGTAGCTCACCCTTGGCTCCCTACTCGCGGTTTCATGTGTTAATGGTTCCTCCTCGACTTGTGAGATCTGGGCTTCAAAGCATCTCTACCAGGTCTGGCAAAAGCCAGTAGATGGCAGGACCAACCCAGGGCTTCGCTTCCCTGTGCGCCATGGACACTCCCAAAATGCAAAACTGGGTGTGTCTATCCCCATTCCAGTTTGATAGCCTCAGACAGCAGCTTTCCAGGGGCAAAATAACTCCTCCAGGATCAAGGAAGGACTCAGAGCCATCTTCATCCCAAACAGCTGAGACCCACAGCACCTCGCCGCTGAGGATGACAGTGAAGGCACAGCCCAGCTTCAGGGTGCAAAAGCACTGGGATCACAGGCAAGGGGCTTGTGACTGGGCGCTAAACCTGCAAGCATCCAGATGTGCACCACATCTGCCTTTCCCAGAGACAGGAGAGCATGGATGCCTACACCTCATTCCAGCATGGAGGCACAGCCACGCGGACCAGAGCTACCAGGCTTCCCACAGGGGTGGTGGGACCACAGCGTCCTTCGTGGCAAGCAGGGTCTCTGAGAGGCAAGTCATTTCAAATAACACATAACTTGAGTAAATGAACACCAAGCAAGGACATTCTTTGAGTAGCAGTGTGGATCCTTTGAGTAACTATTAAGCAACTGACCTTATTTGTTCTGGCTGTTTGCACAAGGAAGTCACATCGGGTTTGTGTTTCCCAAAAGAAGAAATCTTGTCCTTCTGCAAAACAAAAATTCTCAAAAACAGTTGGAAGAACTTTGTTCATTTTTAAGTCCTCCTTTTCAGCAAAGAGCAAACCCAGCAAACCTGGGTGGAAAGGGCTGGTGCCGCAGTAAGCTTTGAGCATGTACAGACAATACCCAAAAATGAGAGCCCTTGCGACGTTGGCGTAGTGGTAGATGGCAGCAGCTGCCGTTGAAATACAGCCATTTCCAGGATGGAAGCACAGAAACCGTTTTCTCATTAGCATGCTCCAAAATGGGCATGTATTTGACTTAAGCTCTTCTATTTTCCAGTGAAAACTGTTCTGGGATACTTTATGCTTGTATGGAGCAAAGCTGCCTCCCCTCATAACCTCTTATCTTGTCAGAAAAGGTGAAGATTTGAGTTTTCTGCTAAGATTTTGATTCTAATTCCACAGTCCAAGTAAACACATTCAAAGCACTTAAGGACTGTCCCACCGTGGTCCCCAAGTTCCAAATCAGGAATTTGGTTTAACAACCCACTAGTTTTAATGCTCTACACATGCTGGGTTCTTGCTATTTATTTTCTTCTTATTATTAATCTTTTTAATTACCACAGCTGCACATTTTCAGGCCTTTCACTCCTGGGCTTTAGGACAACTGAGGTTCTCACATGATTTCTGGTGCTGGGGACTTGGGGGGAAAAAAAAATCTATAGTATGACCAGAAATTGCGAGAGTTGGCAGAACTGATCATAAGATGCTTGAGATTACACTGTTGCATAACAACTCTTGCATTTGACAAGCTGTCATACCCTCCCTCTCTCTCAAATACACATATATCTATCAAAGAGATCGTTGCCACATGTGTTTGAAAGGAAAAACTGCAAATATCTCTTCTTCCATACAGTAAGCGTACAGGAATATAGCACACAAGGAGGAAAGACGAAAAGGGAGTGAAGAGGGGGAAAAAAAAAAATCTCCATATGCAATCTATTCATCATCTATAGGCTCCAGAACACCTGTGAACTGACCTTCAGATCTGTCCCCTGGCAATACTATTAATATAACTTGTTATTTGTATAGGATAAGTAGCCTGTTGAATGCTCTTCCCACCAGCCCTTGCTCCCTTGCATAACTAAGTCCTTGGCACGAACAACCTCTGAAACGCTGAGATAAGAAGGAGATGGCCACTGGAGGAGGCAACCAGGTCTCATAACCCTGCTCGTAGCTTCAGCCCATGGGGTTGTCTGGCATGGCATCCTCAAAAGCCTTGTAAAGGCATGAACAGGCATTAGGACACAGCTATGCTGATACCTTTTAAGTTTAGCTCTTTGCTCACAGCAGAGGCATTGTGAGGGTAATGGAGTCCAAAACCAAGATACCTTTTACCGGGTGGCCAGAAAAGAGTTACAGCCCCATTATTTGCAAGGTAGAGTGCTCTGGGTGCTGCCTTGGTCTCACTACAGCATCTACTCACAGCAAGTAGCAAGGAACAAATTAAACCCTGCAAACGAGGTTTCTAACCCTCTTGGGGAGGAAGGCTCAGGCACAGGGAAGCTAGGGAATATCTACCCCATTTCTAGTATTTTTTTCCCCAATTCTCCCTGTGCTATATGTGCATAGCAGAGGTTTGTGGCACACCTCGAGGCCTGTGGTCCCAGCAGGTCCCAGCAGGCGAGGGAGGGTGCATTAACCAGAGGAAGGCACATCTGAGGACCAACAAGACAAGCAATGCGTTCTTACCAGACTCATCACCTAATTGCAGGTCACATCACAATGACCAGTCCCTCCTGTTGTAAAGGCTGTCATTAGCATCTGTGTCATTTTAATTAAAAGACGGGGAGAAGGAGGAAGAAAAAGCATGTAACCACTTTTGTTGCAAATATTTCTATGTATCTGCACACCGTCTTTCAAAAGAAGCTGCTTATCACTCATCTAAGTGGGGACAGAGCTATAATTGAACAGTGTGTGCAGCTTGAGAGGCTTTTGTTTATTTGTTGACACAAAATAGGAGAACCACGTACAAGGAGAGCATGGCTAAAGAGTGCCAATGCTGCCCCTGATTCTCACTGCTAGAAGAGAAAAAAAGCCCAGGGCACTTCTGATCAATCAGTGGAAGTGACAGCAAGCTTTCGCCTGATAGTTTAAGGCTCAATTTTGGCTTGTTTTGTTTTGTGTCTAGTGGGTCCACAGGTAGGCAGAGCAGGTAGGAACCAGCACGATGCAGAGACAGCAGGAGGACACATCTCCCGTGGGACGACTGAGAACTTCCAGGAGCAATGTTGCCGAAAGACCTGGGAAGATCCTGGGATCTGAAGGACAGCAGGAGTGGCAGGTTTTGCAGTGAAGTCACCCTCTACAGTCCACGTACACCATCAGCCCCATCAGCCAGGGATTGCAGGTTGAACCTAAAGATCTGCGTATTGATATCTTTGCCTCTGACTTCACTAAATTTTGCAAACAGACCTGTTGCCCCGGATCATTTAGGTATCGATGTTATTGTCTATCACCATCACAAGTCCAAAGTGGGGAAATCGAGGCACCAAGTCTTTGTAATATGCAGACTAATTTTTAGAGGTCCTGTTCCCAGTGCACTTGCTCCATTAGGAGTAATGGGGTTGACTCAGACCCCAATAACTGGCATTCTTCACTAAAATGCACCTGGAAAACGCAATTCCCACGAGAGGTGAAACAAGCTGGCCCAGGGGTGTTTATCAGAAAGGGCAGGGACAGGAAGAAGGTGGACTTGCTGCTCAGAGGTGAACTGGAAGGAATGCTGAGATGAAGCACTCAAAAGCCGCTTGAGAGGGTAAGAGACCCTCGTGCCAGGCATAATATTTGGGTTTCTTCTTTCTAATCTCTCTGTCTGGACCAAGGAAACACACACAGCACACGTCCCATCTCAAGTAACAATAGGAGCATGTTTATTCAGGTCTGGCACTTACAGAGCTCAGAGGGACAAGTTACACGTCATTTGTTTTCCAGAAAAGTCAGCCCAGGATCAGAAGAAACGAAACAATTTTATAAAAAGAGACTGCAGCTGCAGGGGCTGGGAATGTGTCTCCCTTCGGGTCATGCATTCCCGGTGCCCGGGACCACCCACGTGCTGGGGGCACACCGGTGTCACGAACCTCCACAGAGGCGAGAAGCAGGAACGTCTGAACACTTGACCAGGTGGTATCTGGGGTTAATCGGTTCTCGGCGAGTCCCAGCCTTGTTTTAATCAACCTTAGAAACGAGGGGGGGGTATTAGGTATAAAAGCAGAAACCCTTCCAAAACGATCCACCTTTGCCAAGGAGGTGTGAGTGCAGTGGGGTATGTCCACAGAAGGAGGAGAAGAGCTTAGCCAAACCGCCCAGGTCTCCAGTGCTGGAAGAGCATAAAGTCTGGGAAACAACCACCTTGGAAGCCTGCTGAGAAGTAGAGGATCTCCTTGCAGACAGCGACAGAGAAGATATTGGCTAATGAGACCTGCAACAGCCCATGGAAGACGGCTCTTCCTCGGCCAGCCCCATCACTCGCGAGCCCTGAGGACGTAGATGAAGCTAATGAGGACCCCCAAGGCCAGGACCGTGTAGCTGGCTTTCACGCTGCTGGAACCACTGATGTTGCAGAGGAAGGAGTCGCAGCAGTAAACGGAGGCGGCTGCTATGCCAAGGTTAATCCCGGCACTGGGGCAAATGGGAGAGCATCCTTTGGAGATGGACTGGCCAGACTTGCCGCCTGAAATTAGGTTGGGGTAGGAGGAAAGGAAAAAAAGCAAAAAGGAGATAGGTTTATAATGTTTCTCAGCTTTCTGATCATGTGTTCCGCAAAGGAAATAACAGCACTGAAATAGGTGAAGCGTCACAGGTGGCACAGAGAGGATGAAGTGCTTCTCGGTGTCAGACTACAACACTAATCTCAGCCAGCCCACACATCTCAAGAACACCCACGACAACCTCCCACACAGACTCTAGAGACCATGCAACACCCCAGGGACACCCCTTCCAGGCTGTCGGCCAAAGTTTGGCCGCTACGGTTTGGGTGAAGAATCTCAAAAATCCCACTCGAGCCTGACCCTGGGACTCCTCGAGCGAGACAAGAAGCGCAGGGCATAGAGAGCACCGGGGAGGCACTTGTGAGCGAAGGCTGCGTTTCAAGCATCGCTGCAAGAGAGGCGCAGCGCACATTTAGCAGCAGGACACAGGAACCCATTAGCACTGTGCTAAGACAATAGGTTTATAAAAGCTCCCGGCCTCCATTTGTATACGCACAACCGCCCACGTTGCAGACCACGCAACTCAGGCATGCAACACCCATCCCTCCTGGCAAGGGAGAGCAAGGCTGGGCCAGGCTGGGCCAGGCTGGGCTCTGGTCTCTGCAATGGTGCCCGGAGACCTGCCAGAGCAGCCTGCTTCCCTAGGAGCAGCAGCTGGGAAGCACAGACCCCCCCCAGATCTTTCCCGGCACTTCGGAAGGAAACGTGCAAATCTCCCTTCCTGGCAATCCCACCTTGTCCACAGAACAAAGAAGCAAAGGCGGGACTCAGGAATGAACAACCTGAACGCAGTACAAAAACAGGAAGGGCAACCCTGGAGCTTTCCTACGAAGGAAGCCTGCAGCACCCTCCACACTTTCACTTACTCATCAGCAACGTCCCCGCCCCCACCCTGAAATTCCCCTCGGACTCCCAGCATTGGTGCAGGCACACGGGCTTTAACGTGTTGCTGTCTGGCAGCACATCCCTCATAAAATTCCCTCGGGATGGTCCTCCACTTAGCTGCTAAGCAGAACTTCCCCCTTTTTCCAGCCAAAGGAAGGAAAGCCTTCCTGCAGCTCAGCAGGTGACCCAGGAGAGCAGCCAAGAGGGCCAGAAGGTCCTGTCGCCACTCACCGATTCCCACTCCGACGTAAGTCGTCACACAGTGGTTTTCATTCTCCCCACACTTGACAGGCTTCAGGCAGGCCCAGTTGGAGGATGCATCCGAGCACGAAAAGCAGACGAGTGTGTGGGCTGCAAGGGAAAGGCACATCTCAGTTAGGGGCTGGTGGGGAGACCCCCCCACCTGGTGGTCCCCACCTGTGACACACAGCACACACCACATCTGGCCACAGACACCGCTGCTATTCCATCCATATCAATCTGCAACAGGCTTTTCCCCCCAAAAAACTGGTCAAGTGAAGGGTTCAAACATAAGGGATACATTTCGAGCTCTTGGCGGGATCAACTGTCAGCTATAGCCTCAATACAATGATAGGTCAGCCTGGTACTTTATGGTATGCTTCTCCTTGCACCAAGAGCGGGTTCAAGCTACAGGTCCCAACTAGAAACTAAACAATGGAGCAGGCCTACAATCTGGAACCTGAGATTTGGGCTTATTCAGCTCAGCTACTGTGGACACTGATGGGAAATGCTCCAGGGCGTGACCATGGGTTCCAGCTTTGCATGACCTGCCTTTGACCACAGTGCATAAAGCTCAGGCTACGCTTGAGCTAGCACACGTGGCAGAAACAATTTCTCAGCTAGAGCAAGCCCAGCATGGCAGCAAGACCTGCAAGGACTTGCACTGTCCCGCTACCCAGGGAGTCATACCACTATGAAGGCAGCATATGCAACTAACCTGTTTAATTTGGAGCAGGAGGATAGCAAAAAAAGCATGCCTTCCTCCACGGCAGGTCCCCTAAAATGGTCTACCCTACACCAGCAGGATGGACTGCACCAGTTAGCTCCCATCCTTCATCCTTCAGATCTGCCCAAGAAAGAGGAAAGACTGGAAAATAGCATTCAGTAGGAAACGGTTGCAGAAACAGCCTGGCCTGGTGACTCAGCAGGGACATATGCACTTTGCAGTGGACAGACGACCTTCTCTGTATTTCACACACAAGAACATCACATCCATACTGCAGTTGTTGACCTACATATGCAGACAGATCAGGTCTGTTCCCGACGTTTCACGGGCTCCGATTTTTGAGCGCTCAGACGGCAAGCCCTTCCATGAGGCACTGCCTTCCTCTTCTGTGTTTACAGGATGCAAAATGGAGCGGGGGCTGATTCAGGCTGGGAAGTGCAAGGCAGTATAATCCCTGCTCCTACCTCTTTCAGCCCCACCACAAACAGATGATCCTAAGGAGGTGAAGCTGGTGAAGCCCTAGGAGAGCTTGCTGAGGCTCAGCAGGCCCTGTCATGGAGTATTCTGAAGAACAAGTCGGACAAATATTGGTCAGCAGCAGTCCCGCTTTGCCATGGGACTGCGTGACCTCTTGAGGTTCTTCTCAATCCTGTTTCTCCCAGGAAAATAAAAGCTTTTTTATGGGAAAATAGAGATAAAAATAACAATTGGGCTCTAAGGTATGACTTTTGAGCAGCCAAGGCAGGGGAAGAAAACAAAAACGTAATCTCAGGGAAACAGATTAAAGCAGGTTAGTGAGAGATCCTGAACGTCCCATCAGGGCAGCCAGATGACTCTGCTTTGGAGACAAAGCCAACACCACAGCCCCCTAAGCAAGAATTTCCTGGACTGTCTCACAGATCCTCCAACGATCATCAGTCTGCCAACAATCCTTGCAACAAGACAAGAGTTACCTGAGCGTGCCAACGCAGCAGCCACAACCTACACACAGCACCCAGGATTACAGGGCCACCAGTTGCGTCAAAAGCCCCAGGAGAGATTCGTCAGTGGACCTTACTTCTGCGTCTAGGAGAGGGGGAGGAGGACGGAGCCAGCCATTGAGCCTCCAGGCCAGTCATCATCCCTTGCTCAGCCCTCAGAGCATTTCCATAGGTGGCATTTTTGACCTCATTGGCCAAAACTCAGTCTGGGACCTCAGAATGAAGCCCAGTTCTCTCCTGCTCCCTTGTCCCCAGCATGCTTCTGCTCTCAAGGCTCAGGTGACCTGTGCCCAACCCTTCTCCTTCCAACCACGCTGAGAGCAAAGTGAGGAGGCAAACTGACTCATCCCATTTCACAGGAACCGTCTGCAACCAGGAATGAGGTGGATTACAGGCTTCCTGTGGGCATTATAGTAGGACATATGTCCCCATATGCATTTGCTCACTATGCTGAACGCACGAGTTGAGTGGTGCAGTGCCAGTTGTTAAGGCTTAGAGGTTCCAGATACAAACATATCAGAAACATTTGTACGTGCACATAAAAGTGCCTTTAGGCATCAGATTTTCTGCCACGTAACTAAATCTATATGTTCTTACCACAGGATGTCCTACCTGTCCCCATGTTTATCTTTGTCACACGTACCTATTACCCCTTATTTGAATATAGACAAATCTTTCCAGAAGAGGCGAGTTTTTCAGCATAGTTTAGGAGAGAAAATGCGCAGTTATAACTAGTGACACTTTCTGCCCCAACAAACAGATAACTAAATAACCCACTGCAGAGCGAAAAGAGCAAGCAGGCTGAGTGTTTTAGACAAAAGGCACAAGAGGGGTGCAGAATTATTTCACACAGCTGGAGACAGAGCAAAGAGTTGAAGCTCAAGGCTACAAGAAGAAAAGAAAAAAAAAAAAGCCTAAAACTGAACAAGGCAAAAGGGAAGCCTCGTTTTCACCAACCAGAAAATGCAGCGTTCTTGCACAAGAAGAATTTATGTGTTTATTTGTTTGCTGCTTAGCTCCTCCAAGGAACAAAGAGCTCCGAAAACAGAGTGGATCATTTGGGGGAATTCCTCCGATAAGAGGGTGAATCCATTCTTGAAAAGAGCAATGCGGTGGCAGGGGGGGGAGCCTTTAAAAGCTCGCTCTGAAGCTCAGCAGCACCGGTGAAAAATGCTGTTGCTTCAGCAGCTCTTCCATTCAGTCCCATGCCAAATGCTCTCTCCATTCCCATTGCTCTTCGACAATCCATACACATACACCAGATCTTCAGGGCACTTTGAGCAGGGGGTAAATCTCTTCTGCAAAAGACTCCCTGGATGTGCAAGAAGCATTTGGGGACAAAGCTACCTGCAACAAACCCTTTTGCCTGGCTAAGAACTTACTTTAAAGCCAAAAGGGGTTGTTTTTTTTTTTTTGGGGGGGGGAGTGAAACCCCTTCCTGCCTTGGCCTGGACAGCCTGCCCTCCCAGCTGGAACTGAGCACATGCCAACTGGGTTCTGACGGAGATCCAACGCCTGAATTGCCCGAATTGCCAGTTGTTTCCTGGACCCCACTGGGAGGGGGGCCACGGGAAGGGCAGCGAACAACTAGTTTCTTCTCACAGGTGTCCTCAGGAGACAAGGAGGGCCCATGTTTCCTGAGCAGGGGCTCGGAGGGCCCAGAACTCTCCTGTTTGCTCTTTGTTTGGCTTCTCCAAGCATCGACATATGGAAACAATACGGGGTTTTGCACGGCCCCATGGAGTTTGGGTAGTCAGAAATGGAGTCGTCGGGAAGGCGGGGATTGCAGATCCTGCGACTCGGACAACTTGCAGTTTAATGCCCAGCAACAGGAAGAACGTTCTCCCCAGCTTCGGTGGCAGCCCCAAGATACGCTCCACAGGGCACGGTCCCTTGGGGGTCACCTCCCCACTCGCTGGCAACCGCAGCCTG